AAAAAAAAAAAAGTAAGGTCAGGAAAACAAAGCCATTTAAGTCTTGCCTTACCTCTTGCTAGCCACCCACCGAACCAGATGGCAATGGCTCTGCAGGCTCGTCCCTAGCTTCCTCTCCACAGCAGTCAGAAGGCAGTCACCCCCAGGAGAAGGGACAGACTACTCCAGATACTGAGGCAGCAGGTAAGTTCCTCCGGCTCCTCCCAGCCCCTTCTATGGCTTCATCCTGGCCCAGATCTTCCCAAGGCTCTGCTAGGGCTGGGACTGGTTTCTCCTCATGGCTTTGAGCTTAGCTTCGGGGATGATGGGCTTATTGATGGATTCATTTGTTTGCTTATTCTACACATGTATATTGAGCACCTTCTATGTACTAGGCATTGTGCTGGAACAACACAAATGCTGTAGGTTTGTCCTTCAGCTGGCCGCATCCCACCTCAGCCCCTTGTCCTCATCAAGGAATCTCTAGTTCTCTTCCCAAATCTTTCTTTTCCAACATAGATGATGTGGGGTCAAAGAGCCAAGATGTCAGCCTGTGCTTAGAAGACATCATGGAGAAGCTCCGCCATGCCTTCCCCAGTGTGCGAAGCTCTGATGTGACTGCCAACACCCTGCTGGCCTCTTGATGGAGCCAGTTCCCCATCCTATAATCCACAGTCTTCTGGTTCTTTCTGGTCAAAGTCTTCCTTCAGCCTTCACCCAACATTTCCAGTCCCTACCAGGCCCACATTCCTCAGCCAGAGTTATTTGGGCTCTGGGCAGCAGCAGGGATCCACTAGTATGTGAAGTGGATGTGTGAGGACTGGGGGAGGAAGATGCATGATTCCTCCAATTATAGAAATGTGCCCTTTAATCCACAAGTTTGAGATTAGTCCCTTAAGTATGTCTCTGTTGCGGTCCAGGCAGATGACACTTGGAAGCCATTCAGATGGGGACAGAGAAGCTGCCTTACAGAGCTAAGCAGTGCCCATCAGCCCCTTTCCCTTCTCCATGGAATTATGGAGATAAGGAAACCCAATGACTCCAGGGTTCCAGCATTATGAACCCACAGGAGTTAGTCCTACGCTCTGGCCCAGCTCAGGGAGGCAAAAGAGTATCTCTGAGACTTCCCCCTACCCCCAAAAAAGTGCCCCTGAAAATGTCTGGGCAGCATGTGGCATACTATAGTTTGACGGCATATCTCTAGTCATCCTGATGCTACCTAGATGTTGTTTCCCCCTAGAATATCTGCAGTTCCTTCTGCCTCAGGCCCTGTCAGGCTTTCCTCAATGAGGGGGAACAATTCGTTCTGATTCCTACTTACACTTTACATTTGGAAGCATTAAAGAAATACTTAGGGCTTTGGTTTTTTCCCCAATCATCCTCTTTCCTGAAGGCTTCAGCATCCTGAGACACCAGCTGAGTTACTCTAGGAACCAGCTGAAGCCACCCTTGGCTCTTCTGGGTCTGCCCTCAGAGCCCTGGGGTAGAGGCAGCAGCTTGCTCAGCAAGCAAGTCTTGCTCTACTTGGGTGAGGAAGGGGAAGCCACTCACCAGCCTAGAGGAGTGTGACTGCCCAACACTCTTGCAGGCTGTGACCCTTCTTTCTTTTAGGCTGAATCAGATGAAGTGGCTCACTGTCCCTAGCTAATCATAAGGCAGATGCGAGTGGCAACCTTAAATAGTGGCCTCTTCCTAGGAGCTACTGGCCACACATCAGGAAGCTGGCCACGTTCCACCCAGACAACAGCAAGGCCTTCCTTTGCATAAAACTGTTCTTTCTAACTCTGGAAGGTGAATCCAATCCTCAAAGGAAACTAACTCTTCCTAGGCTACATATACCATAATCCTTTTATCCAGAAACTGTTCGAAGTAGATAGCGGGGTTGGGGGGAGGGGGGTAATGGGCTTGGAAAATTTGAACAAAGCCCACTTAGGCAGTTTTCTATCAAAAGAAGCTTTATAACCTAGAGCCCCGCAATTGACTTAATTTGCCTAAGTTTATATACATATATATCTATCCTGCATACCTACTGTACATCAGTACTCCCCTGGCCTTGCTCACACATTAAATTCTAATACCTCTCAAAGTATTAATGTTCTGCCTTGCTCTTTGTTAGCCCCAGCCTCTGGTTGGACTGATAAATGCATCCTGGCTGCCCCCCCACCAAGGATGTCTCTCCATTCATGTCTGGGGTAAGCTATCCTTAAGGCCAAAGCCAACAGAAGCCTGTGGCCACAGTGGAATCTAACGGGAAGAGTCACTCTGTTCTCTTCACTCATTCAAAATTTCGTTCCCTTGACACCTGGGCCTTGGATGAATTTTCCTGGGCTCCCCTAAACAATGGTTCAGGTGCCAAAATAGAGCAAATGTGAGTCCTACTCATCGCATGCAAACAAGAAGGAACAAATGGGCCTTTATTGACCTTTGCCAGGCTTTGACGCAGAGAATACCCTCCAGCCCCTTCCAGGTCATAAGTCTGGCTCAGGGACTCAAAGAAAGCAGCAGTTGCCACCAAGGTCAGGAGGGTGTGAGATAGTTGGGGTGCTCTGTTATAATAAAGCAGTAGGCCAGTGGGTAGAGCTTCTGGGAGGTTAGATTTATCTGCTGCAGGGGAAGGAAGGCAGCAGCTTTGATCCAGAAGCCTAGGATTACCTCCTTCTAGAATTTCCAGGGAGCACTAAGCCACAGGTCCAGGGCTAACCGCATCTGCCTTAGTGCCCATGAAGTCTCTAAATGGGAGGCCTGGGTATCTGGATGTATGGTGAACAGGTTGTGGGTGGGCAACAAACACAGTGCATGGGCATCTGTCCATGGGAAGGAGGCTGTATTTGTAGGGGCATAGTTTGTAGGCAGGAATGAGGGAGAAGACATTTGCTATAGGTCAGGGAGCACAGGGTCTTTGAGGTATATCCTGCCTAAGGCTTAAGAGGGCAGATGTTATGAAACAATCTTTGACCGGGAAAGTCTTAGAAAATCCTTCCCATAACCCCCACCTCACCCAAGAGATCTTGGGCTGCCAAGGGCCTGTGGCAACCGTGGTGGGCTAGGCATAGTAGAGAAGATGTAGATCTTGCTATGTAGGATTTGTGCTGTAGGTGGACCGACGCAGCAGGTTGAATTCTCACTAATGGGGTCACTGACACTGTGTGTGTGGTCCTGTGTATACCTTAATGCCTGAGGTGAGTGTATCACTCAAGGGTCCAGTGACAGTCACTGCAGCATGTGTGGGCAGTTTGCCCTCAGTGAGGTAAATGGATCCTTGGGCACGGTGAATCCAAATTAGGGTGAGATTTACTGAGATGTGTTGTATGTTGTTAAGCATCTATCATGTATCATGTCTCCTAGAGGTATCTTTTTTGTGTGATGCTGCATAATTTATGGCCCCGTACTGGAGGAACGGTAAAGGGGGAGTTTTCTGGGTAGGCAGCCTAAGGAAAGCCTCTGACTTGTGAGAAGGAACATGAGTGTTTGCTGGGGTTGTTGTCAAGTAGTATCAGGGAACAGTTAGGACTGATAGGCGATTTATTCTCGACAGGATTTGGCAGAGGCCAAAAAGCTGTTATGAAGGTGCCTCTGCTCAAATTGAGAGCAGAGCAGGGTCATGTTGACTGGGAACTTGTTAAAAAAGGCTGACTGGCTGCAGAACATCAAGCTGTTTGTTGGATGGTTCCCTAAAGAGGGCCCTACCCAGGAGGATACATGCCCTCCCCTCCAGAATGGCAAGGCTGAAATCAAGGCTCTCAAGTGCCCATTTCTATCAAGGCCCAAACTTTAAAAATATTTCTCTGTAGAGAAACCTGTTTGAGTTTCTCATACTCCAGGAACTGGGCTGGCAGGCCACAGTAATGAGAAACCCTGATGTCAGGCAGAGGCCAATGCTGGGAGATAGACGTTTTCCCTCCAGGTTAATTTTGAGGAATACCCATGCTGCCTGAGGTGTGTGTTTGGAATCTGGGCTCCATGTCCAGTTTCATGCTAGAACATTCCTGGAACACACATTCTCAATGGCCAACTTGAGGCCTCTGAGACCGTTTCAGGCCAAGAATCTCATTAAAGTTCCGCTTGCATAGGTGACAGCTAGCCAAGAAAGTAAGCTACCTTAAGGTGAACAGTCCTGGGAGAGAAACTGGGGGGCCCTATCCCCGGGCTGTGGAGACTGAGCTGCTCAGCTGGGCAGCTCAATCTCTGGGCCTCCCTGCCAAAATCTGGCCCTGGGAACAAAGGAATACTTCAGCTCTTTCTTACTCTTTTAACACCAACGGCTGTGGGAGAGGGAAAGGCTCAAGGCCAGGAATCAGCTCCCAGCCTCCATCTCATCCCACAGCGGCTGCATTTGCGGGCATGGGGGGGTGGGTGGCTGCTGAATGTCCTTGCTATCTCCAGGGCAGTATTGGGTCCCAGAGTGGAGCTTGCTATGCTGTTTGCTGGCTGCAACAACTGGTCTCAGGAATGGAAGTTGGGGAAGGGATTCGGGGCAGGGGGGAGGTGGCCAGGGTGGCACACAGGTCTAGAAATGGGACAAAGTGGGTGGGGCTGGGAACAAATTGGTTAACTTTGCCACTCACTGTGGTGCTTTTCCCCTTTCCCTTGAATTCTGCTTTGAAAAGAATAAATTTGTATTTGTTTACTTTGGTTCTTCTGGTTATACTCTGACTCTTGGGTGTGGGAAGAGAGGGTGGGCCAAGAAGACACAGGGATACTGCAAAACATGGGCTACCAGATGAGTTCAACACCTGCTGGACAAAACAAAAACCAACCCACCTGCACTAGCCCCATCCACTACTGTTACCTGGATTGGTTACCTCTCAAGATCCTATACAAATTAGCCAGTTATCCCCTCATGGGACGAGCTTTCTATACCAATGGTTCTTAAGTAACCATCCTCATCAATCTGAGGGAGTTTTCACCAGCCTGAAGCAATGTGAGAAAAATCAGGACAATGCAGTGACTTTCCATAAAGATACATTTACTCAATTTAAAGGTCTATATTTTATTATCGGCATATAATTTTTTGGAGTGTGAAAATGTCCCTGTAACTGGGGCAAAGAAACTATGGCAGGTTTTTTTTAATGCCATTTTTCTAGCAAAATAAGACCCTGGGAGTCCCTCTTCCCCAACACCAATTTTTCTTTTCTCAACAATCTATAACACCACTGTCCAATAGAAATATAATGAGAGCCACATACACAATTTTCTAGCAGCCATATTTAAAAAATAAACAGGTGAATGGGGAGCTTGGGTGGCTCAGTCGGTTGGGCATCTCACTTCGGCTCAGGTCATGATCTCGCTGCTCATGGGTTCAAGCCCCACAATGGGCTCTGTACTGACAGCTCAGAGCCTGGAGCCTGCTTCGGATACTGTGTCTCCCTCTCTCTCTGCCCCTCCCCCACTTGCATTCTCTCTCTCTCTCTCTCTCAAAAATAAACATTAAAATTTTTTTTAAATACATAAAAGTGAAAAAATAAATAAACAGGTGAGGAGCACATGGGTGGCCCAGTCAGTTAAGCATCTGACTTCTCAGGTCATGATCTTGTGGTTCATGAGTTCGAGCCCCACATCGGGCTCTCTGCTGTCAGCATGGAACCTGCTTCCGATCCTGTCCTCCCCCTCTCTGCCCCTCCCCCACTCTGTCTCAAAACATAAACTTAAAAAATATATCAAATAAAAATAAACAGGTGATATTAACTTTAACATTTAACCCAGTATATCCAAAACATCATTTCAACATGAAATCAGTATACAATGAGATATTTTATATTCCTTTTTTTAAACTAAGTCTTAGAAATTGTCAAACAGGCTGACAGATTCAGCTGGAAAGAAACAAGAGACCCACACAGATCCAGACAATTTACTACTCATAGAAGCCAAAGCAAGATCAGCAATGGTATCACCTCCTTGCATCCCTTGTTCCACAGGTTGCCACTGAAACAAAAGGGGCCCAAGGACATGCAACATGGATAGTGGAACATCCTATTTTTATGGCCTCCAGCTGTACACTTTGGGGGTGGTACGGCAGGCAGAAAGTCCTATGCTTAACCTAAATGAGGGAGGCAGATGAGGAACTGCCTCCCAGAAGCCTCCCTCGAGACAGGGAGGTGAGAAATGGTCTTGTAGTGACTTCTCATGAGACTGCCTATCTTCCCATGTTTCTGGAGGATCACAGGGCATTCTGCCAAGGCCTGGGTCAGCCTGCAGTTGAGCCTGCCTACATGGCCTATGCTAATAGTACAAGGTCAGCAGGGCACCAGTTACCCTACAGAAACCCAGTGTGTATTTTACACTTACTGCACATCTCAGCTCGAGCTAGCCAAATGTCAAGTGCTCAAAACCCACATGTGGCTAGTTGATACCATATTGGACAGCACAGGTCTGTAATATATAAAATTTAAAATCACTGGGCTGTAGAAAAAGAAAACTTCATGAGGTATCACTGTGTGTGTGTGTGTGTGTGTGTGTGTGTGTTTGTTGGGGTGAGGTGGGGAGTCAGGGTGGCAGTAAGCCTTGGGTGACTGGAAGGCAGTGGGGAAGCAGTTACCCTGGGTTACAATGAGATGTGGCAGCAGAGGGAATGCAAGGCCACTGCAGACGCATGGACTCACCCTTGCCCCTTCCTGTTGTCTTCCCTTCCATCCTGTCTCTCAGCAGAGTTCTGGCTGCTCTTGGGCTGTAGTATTGGATAGAGGCTGAACTAGGGCTCTTCTACCTCTATCACCTCTAGATGCCACCTGTGGCATATATGCCACCCTCACTAGCCTCAGTCTCTCCAGCCATGTCCCCAGGATGCTTTGTTATCTGTTTCTGCTCCAGCCCCCTGCCTTCCTTTTTTTTAAGTTTATTTTATTTTGAAAGAGAGAGAAAGCACGAGCAGGGGAGGGGCAAAGAGAGAGTGAGAGAGAATCCCAAGCAGGCTCTGTGCCATCAGCAAAGAGCCTGATGTAGGACTTGAACTCACGAACCATGAGATCACAACCTGAGCCAAAACCAAGAGTTGGGTGCTTAACCAACTGAGCCACCCAGGTGGCCCCCTCTGCCTTCCTTCATCTGTAAAGGGCTATCTTCTTTTCAAACCTTGCCTCTTCTCCCACACCTTCTGCCTCTAACAGTCCCTTTCTCCCACTTCCCTTTCTTCTCATCTTTTAAAGCCTGAATTTCTGAAAAAAAATCTTTTTTTATATATCATCTTGGTTTTCAAGCTGTCTTCTAGCTTTTTTCCTAATATTAACTTCATTTTGTTTGCCCTTAACATATCTTCCTTAGTCCCGCTTCTTCCCTGCATTTGCCCCCAGCATCCCTTCCATCTTCCATCCTCCTCCACAGGGCCTGCCCATACATACTGACCTGAACTTCACTGCCCCTGGCTTATTAACTTGAACTTGGAATGGGAGCACTATAAGAGGCACAGAAAACTTGTGGAGTTCATTTCCTAGAGCAGCACTGACTCCATCAATTGGGACCAGACCTGGGTCTAGCTGGACTACTTCCAGAAAACCCTCAGATACCTCTTGGTCATAAGCATTATCATCCTTGATTTCTAGATGAAAAAATAACAGAGGCTCCAAGGGGTGTAGGGACTTGCTCAAGGTGAATGGAAAAGCCAGGATTCCAACCTTGTGTTCTTTCCACTACAACATAAATCAATGCAATACTGCCATTTTGATCACTTCTCTAGATGATTTCTCAAATTCCCAGTGCTATATGGTTAATGTGAGATGATTTGCTTAGTTCATTAGGAGTTATCCCAAGAGCTCTTTAGAAGGATGCCCCAGTATTGACAGCATCTTCTGTCATTTCCTAATGGTAGAGTTTATTGCTTGTCTCTCCAGTTTCCTTTTGGATATGAGTGTATTCATCATGGGAACGGTTTAATAAAGTGACAGCAATCCAATTAAAATGAAGAATTTATTTATTGCTTAAAGAACACAGGCCAGAAAACTTTAACAATACAGCTGAAAAAACAAACCCACTCAGGGTTTTTAAGGGAGTCTTCACAGGCATCACAGGCATCTGATTTTTCCTAACCTCTTCTGATGGGGGTTAGGATAAAGAGGCTCAGAATAAGGATAACAACTCAGAATTTCATCTCTGTCCTAACTATTCTCTTAGCTGTCAAATAATAACCAGACACAATCCCTAAAAACACAACAGAACAAAGATAGCAGCAGCAAGAAATCATCCCTGAGCAGGAAAGCAGCCCCTATTACCTTAACAAAGACAGGACACAAGCTGGTGTTAACTGCTGGGAGATAGGCACTTAATTCACTGTGAGAGGTCCTAGCCTTTGGTAGAAATGATTTGTTCCATGTTTTAGGAAATATTTAAAATTAATAGAAGAAGGGAACTGAAAACATACACAAACCAGCTAGCTGTATGGCCTTCAGGCTAGACTGTCTTTGGGAAGCATGGCTGAATCATTTGATGGCACCAACAGAGCAGAGGCAATGTAAGCAATTATCAAGTTGATAAAGAGAAGGGAAGTTCTATATTGAGTTGGGATTTTAGGTCTACTACTTTTTTATATTCTGTCCCTTTCTACACAGCTATAAACTTCAAATGTGACTAGCATAAAAAGTTTCAGATCAACAAATAACAAATGACTTCGCATACGGCAATGAAAGGGACAGAAACACGTACAATTTCATCCAGTCTTCAGTCTGGATAGTAAATCCAAGGTTCATGTGCCAGGCTGAAGGCTCTCTTACTTCTCCAAAATAGATTTCAATTGTTCCCGGAGGAAAATGAGCTGTAGGGAGAGGCAGAAAAAGATGAAAAATTGCTCTGAAATCTTAGGTTCTGTTACTTGATCTAGGATTTACTTGTATGAACCAAAAAGAACCACGGTAATTTGTATTTTATATGGTTATCTGAGTCTTGCAATGTTCCAAAGAACAGTGCCAGTCAAGAATGCATGCACAACACTGCATGATGTTGTCTTTTACTGTGCCAAACTTCTAAAAAGAAGCCTTCAAATTGAATATGCTTCAAAATTAAATATGCTTCTGATAAGACTTTGCATTTCTGTGAAGAGTGTACAGAGGGATCACTGTAGCCACATTTGAAGAGTGAGAAAATAAAGCAATTGGGATAGGCTTTTGTCCCACTGAACACACTGGATCTTAAACCAAGTCTTAGCTGCTGCTTCTTACCATGTTATGATACACTTGGAAACTGAACCAAAGACCTGACCAATATTTATTTATTTACGTATTTATTTATCTCTCTCTCTCTCTCTCTCTTTATTTATTTTACTTGGAATGGCAAAGTGACCAAAAACATTGAGAGGTATACTGTCTTTGGGACAGAGATTGGTTTTGAGTATTATTCAATTTAGGTCACTCCATACCAGTGTAGATTTTCATTCTGTGAAAGAAAGGAATGGAGCACTAGAAAGTGATCCTATGCTGCACATCACCTACCAAATTACGAGAATTGCTTCTACAGTAATTTAGAGGCTACACTCTGGTGCTGACATGATTACAACCACTGATTGCTCCAGTTCTTTCCCTTTTGTGGGCTCTCTTTCTCACCACCCCCTAAAGGAAGGTTTTTCCCCAGGTTTGGACTTCTTGCTAAACAGTCAACCTGGCTAACTCATCTATCCCCACAGCTTCAATGATCATTTCTCTGCATGAGCCACTCTCCAATCTCCCATTTTCTAAAGTGCTTCTAACTCAACGTGCTTCCAAGTTATCTCATCATCTTCTCCATCCGCGCCCCCAACAATTCCCTTCCTGTTGTCTTCTGTTAGTGGCACACCATTTTCCAGTTACTCAGGCTTTGGACTCCTCTTTGTTCTCCTTTTGAGCCCATGAATCCAATCAATTGTTAAGCTCTGATTCCTTCCATCACTTGCATCTTCCTCTAGTATCTCTCCACTCAACAATTTCTCCTACATACTGCTGGCAGAGACATCTTCCTGAGTCACTCCCCAGGTGAAAAAGTTTTGGTGGCTCATTATGCCCTAAACAAAAAATCTCAACTCTAGGCTGTCATCACCATCTCTGAGCCACTATGCATGCTACTTTCTATACAGAATGCCCTCTTTTCCCTATCTCCTTATTAAAACCCCACTCTACCTTTTGAGGCTCCAGCCAAACATCATTTCTCTATGAACCAGCCAAACATCATTTCTCTATGAAGTCATCCCTAGTCTCTATAGACAAAAGTGAGACTTCATTCCTTTAAATTCCTGTCCCTCTCATGGATCTCTTCCCACCTGGAGGCAGAGACTGGGTTGTAAGCATTTTGTAGCTCCCTACTACAGAACCTAGCTTCGAGTAGGCTATAAATGAACTAATAACGTAAAGGAATGTGAGTGAATAAAGTTCACAGCTACATTTCCATGCTGAAAATAGCACTCCCCAATACTATTTACATGGATGAAAACAAAGATGTTTGGTGTGTGCTAAAGCAATTTGGTGTTAATTGTTCACATGGTTGTTTATGAGCAGTACTTGGTTAAGTGATTTGCTGAGTGGAAGGGAATATATAGAATTCCCCTGGCTTTGCTTGTATGTGTAACGGGGATGGGGGTTGGTGTCTCTATCTCAAGAGCCCTATGCTAAGCCCATCATCATATGGCCCCCAGTTCCTTTATGATTATTACCCTCAATTTTATAGGACTGAAGCCAGCATACATCTTCTGTACAGCTACCTGACCCTCACTTATCCTACAGTACCTTCTTTTCAGTCTTCTCACTCTCTTGTGGCTTGAAATAATACAGCTGTTCAAGTCAGAAACCTGGCATGCATCCTTAACACTTCCTTCAATACCCAGTAACTGGCCCAACTCCCATCCATTCTACCTTTAAAATATATTCTTTCATATATGAGTGTTTGTAGCAGCATTATTCATGATGGCTAAAAGGTGGGAACAATCCAAATGTCCATCAATGGATGAATGGATAAACAAAACGTGGTGTGTGTGTATGCTTACACACATGGAATATTAGAATATTATTCACCCACAAAATGGAATAAACTACTGATACATGCCACAACATGGATTAACTCTGAAAACATTATACTAAGTGAAAGAAGCCAGATACAAAAGACCACACATTATATATGTCCTTTTAGATAAAATAAGCAGAATAGGCAAAGTAGATGAGAAGGTACATTAGTGGTTGCCTTGGTCCGGCAAGTGGTAGAAATTCAGAAGAAATGGGGAATGACTGGTATTGAATACAGGTTTCTTTTTGGGTGATGAAAATGTTCTAAAACTGATTGTGATGATGGTGGTGCAATTCTGTGAAAATACTAAAACCATACAATTTAAATGTATGGTACGTGAATTATATCTCAACAAAGTGGTTATAAAAACATTTTTATTGCAGTTAATATATATATATTCTTTCCATAGCCACTGCCACCACCTTAGTTCAGGTTGTCATTTTCTCTTATTAGACTACCACACAGCCTCCTAACTGGCCTCCCTGATTCTAGTCTTGCCCCCCCTATAATCCATTCTCCAGATAAGAATCAGAGTGGTCTTTAAAAAGTTTAAATTAAATGTGACTCTCTCCAGCTTAAAACTCTTCAAGGGTTTCCCACTGCACTTAAGACTAAAACCCATCCTCCTTATCATGGCCTGCAAGGGACCATACACTATGGCCTCTGCCTACTTCTACAACCTTATGTTAAGTCATGCTCTTCCTTGCTTTATATAGCCCAGAGGTCCTCAAAAAGGCCAGGTTCTTTCCCCCATGGGGGACCTGTCATATGCTCCACCCAAGAGGCTCTCCATTCCCTCTTCGCTCAGATTGACTCTTTAGGTCTAAGCTTAAGTATCACCTCCTCAGAAAGGCCCATCGTTTTAATTTAATTCCATTTAATTCAGGACTCCTTTTATTCAAATAGCACCACTGATGTTTTTTCCTCCTTCAAAGCACTTTTTTTTTGCCATTTGCACTTCTCCATTTGTATGTTAATTTGTTCACTGTCAATCTTCCATCTAGACATCTCCATGAGGACAAGTACTCTGTCTTATTCAACACGGTATGTACATCTTGTACTTTTCACTTAATAGGCATTCAGTATCTGCTGAATGAGTGAATTTTCACAAAAACCTTGTTCCAACCTACTATCCTCATTTAGAAGATTTGGTCACTACTGATCCTGTGAAAGGAACAGCTAGAAATGACTTTGGGGGTGGGGTTGGGGATTCTTTGTATCAAATTTTTTCTGGTTGATTTGAAAACACTTCTCACCTGCTCATTTTTTTCTTTTTCCTGTAACTTAAGCTGCTCCAGCACAGACTGTAAATGACTCTGGAAAACAAATTGTATAAATGATAAATGCTGAGTCTCAAAGGAAAAGAGAACCAAGTGAGACAAAGAGTTTGGCAAATAATTTGATAAGCAAACTGTCAGTCATAACAAAAGAGCACTCTTTTTAAAGGATTCAGAGTATAAAAACTGCATCCCCTAAGTACAGAGCCATCTGATTTGATTTTATAAACCTACACACGATATTTTTTTCTTGCCTTAAAATAAATGGTTGGAATGCCTTCATGTTACCTTTTTCTAGTTTAGCACAAATCCTTTGACTGTGGTGAACTATTAAAAAAGCTGACTTGGAATTTGGTGCTGACTCATTCATTTCCCTGCACTAGGGCAGAATATTATTATTCCTAACTAGTCCTCCATGCAACATCAATACAACTGTATCTTTCAAAGTGTGTCCACATCTATTATCTCACTTGGTTAATGTAAAGGACAATATTCTAAATAGGTACAGTTCTGTGTTGAGTTACTACATTTTGATGACTACGGCTCTCCAGAAAATAAAATCTGGCAAGGAATTTTCCAGATGCTTCAGAATTTCCCTCACTATAAAAAAGGATGCAAACATGGCCTAAACATACACTTTCCTTTTGTTGAAATATATGTTAATAAAAATCAAGCAAGATATTTATTCTTGTTCAGGCATGCATCATAACATTTAAAAATGAACTTTGTTAATTTTTCTTTCACTTCAATGAATACATTTTGGTACAAACAACTATTTGATTGAATCAAGACATGATTCAATCTATGTCTTACCACTAGTTACTTAACCTCTTTGAATTTCAATTCCTTATCTATAAGATTAGCGACAGTACCTGTATTTCAGGAAGGATGAAATGAGGATGAAATGAGATGATACATGTAAAATACTTAGCTCTTTTTGTGCCTTTCACATAACAGATGCTCAGTATTGGTAATCATTATCTCAAGTCTCCTTGTCTCTTCTCAAAAATTCTTGTATGAGATGATCAAAATTACTCAGATAAAAGGAAATAGGGCTGTATCTTCTTAGGGGTTTCTAAGAGGTTGTTTTAGGTCAAAAAATGAGTAAGAATGCTGCACAGGGATGATACGAGTTAGAAACACAAAGATGGGATTTTGAAAGTAGGATATCAAGGTATCTTTATCCCAGCCAACAAGAATTTACCTTGAGTGTCAGGTTTTCCACTTTCTTTAAGAGATCCCTCTGTCTTTGTGCTTTGCATTGAATCTCTTGGAGCTTTTTCTCCATGTAATGAATCTGCTTCTGAATATCCATGACTAACAGAGACAGACAGAAATTTTAACTAAACATGGCCCAAACTAGTGGACCAAAATCAAAGTCAACCAAAACTCCACTCCACATCTCAACTGTAACTTCTCAAACTTAGCCTTGCATCTAACACATGTTTAAAGTCAATCTTCAGCGCTGCCACCCACTCTGTCCCACCTCTTTGGTTTTTCCTCCATAACTTACCTGCTGAACTGGCTCCTTCCTTTGCCTCATACTGGCCAGATGCAAAGAACTTGGCCTGTAGCTCCCTTTCTAGATCCTCTTCATAATAATCTTTCTCAACTTCATCCTCATCGTAGTCATCTTCTTCATCTTCTTCATCCTCTTCATCATCCTCATCCTCTTCCTCATCCTCATCATCACTGTTGCTACTAGAATCACTGAACATCTCCCGAAACATACCATATTCTATTGGTTTCAAGCAAGAGGAAGGTGAATCTATCTGAATCTTTTCAAATGACTCTCACTCAATCTGCAGTTATCTTCCTTCCCTCAAATTCACTGGTCAACCAATGAATTTTATAAATAATTTTCTCACAGGAAGATCCTTCCCTTCCTAAGGCAATGGCAGGAAATGCAAAACACTAACATTCATTCATGTATTCAGTGATCAAGACATTTAGAGTATTTAAGGGCCCATAGGAATTTAGGATACCAGGGACTGATGGGAGATTAGAACACCAGTCTAAAACCCCTGAAGCACTGAAGGAAGAGGAAAGAAAGGCCAAGGCATCCTTTTTCTGTGATTGGCCTGTGAGTCTCTGGAGAATGGTCTTTCGCACAGTCAACACTTGCCTTCTCTGAAGCTCTTGTTTTGTCTTTATTAACATACCTGATGAGAAATGACCCTGCTTATAGCCACTTATTCCTGGGGACATTGCAAAGCCTGGGATAGAGCCTTGACTTTCTATTTCTTTGGTTTCATCTTCAGCAATGACTTCCCATCCTGAAAGGAGGGGTGGTGGTCAAGGAACAAGCAGAAAGAAAGGAGAAGACACAGTTGAAAGGGAAGAGGTTCTCTGAGTGAAAGTGCTATTTAATTTGGTCCAACTTCAGGCCATCTGTATCTGGATTCCTAGTATGAAGAAGTACCTCCTATTGGATTACACAAGTAAATACATTTCTATTGTGTGAATTTACTATTCCTAGCTAGGAAGTAACATTTCTGTAACAAAAATCTGAAGTTCTACACACCAAAATTAGTACACAAATACCAGAAGTGAGGGCTTGTCAGCAAGTACATATGGGGCGGAACAGGCTACAAGGAAAATATTTAGTATAAAAGGATACGAACACTGAGAGCTTCAGCATCTGAACACAGTAGTCTTTTCACTTCCTTTTCCACATCAGGAGATTCAGTGTATTGAACCAAAGCAGGGGGAGGGGGGATATCAGTAATGTCATTTAACACTCTGTGTTCTGCAGGAATGCCCTGCTCCTACATACAAATGAATTCAAATAATTAGGTCTCTTTAATATCTATCCAAATCAATTTCTACTTTAAGTAATGCTATTTATGAAGAAATCTTTGACCAGGCTCTAGGTTTCTGTATGGTAAGCTTATTTTTTTTTTCCCATTCAAACAAATTAACTTGAGACATTTAATCTTTTCGATCTGCAACTCCGTGTTAAAGACTTCTCTCAGAAGCACAACCCTTAGGCCTCAGTTATTAAATATTGGCCCTGACCCATACTGGCAAACAACTACAATTCCTTACTTGTTATTTAAAAGTAATTTGGCTTAAAGATCCAAATTCCCAAAGTTCACTTTTCCACATCTTTATTATTAAAGATTTTCCTATAAAAACTGGGTCTTAGCTACATGTTCTCCCTTAAATCCAATTTTAGACAATTATCTCCACAGCAACCAATTCGTCATGCTACAAATAGAAATTAGAACTTTGAGGGGGAATAAGCAATTGCAAACAACTGCTGGTAAAAGTGAATACTGGCTTCCAAAAAATGGCTCTTAAAATAAGTATCAGAGAAAAAAGCAGATTAGAATTCAAAGTCACTGGCCAAATTGTTTCTTTTCCTCTAGGAGTTATCAGGCATTAAACAATGAATCCATTTTTAAGTGAACCAATTTAGTGTACCTGTATGGCAGTGGCAGTTAGAGAGGAGAAGGAAGGCCAAAAAGTAACCTTTTTGATTTCTTTGATTTGCCTTAAAGTAATGAGCTATGAAATAAAACACACTAAGGGTAAACAATAAAGTTATATAATGATAGCTCTACCTCAGGAAAGCTGATTTCTTCAATTTGTTTGAAATCAGTGAGCTATGAAATAAAACACAATAAACAATGAAGTTATTATTACAACTTTTCTACTTCACTAAAGCTTAAAGGATTCTAAAAGTATTCTTAATTTAGTTTTACATTTAGTAGGCACTCAATAAGTACTGTTGACTGACAGTATAAAAGCCAAGGCAACTGTGTTCATGGAGTGAAAGATTCAACATAGTAAAGCTGTCAATTATCCCCAAATTGATATATAGGTTCAATGCAATTCCTACCAAAATTCCAACAAGGTTTTTATAGACATAGAAAATTTGTTCTAAACTTCAAACTTACAAAAAAAAATTATACGGAAAGGTACAGGCTCTAGAATGACTAAAACAATCTTGACAAAAATAAAATGAGAACAGTCTTCCTCATTTCAACATTTATTATATAGCTACACTGTGATATCAGTAGAAGGATCAACACACAGATTAATGGAACAGAATAGGGAACCCTGAAACAGACACACACAAAAATGCCCAGCTGATTTTGACAAGGTGCAAAAAACAATACAATGGAGGAAGGAGAGTCTTTTTAATAAATGGTGCTGGGGCAACTGGATATGCAAAGGCAAAAAAAAAAAAAAAAAACCCTTGAACTAAACACCACATTTTTTACAAAAATTAGCTCAAAAATGGATTTCAGGTCTATATGTAAAATGTAAAACTTTTAGAAAAAAATAAGAGAAAATCTTCAGGATCTGGGCTAGGCAAAGAGTTCTTAAACTTAACACAAAGGAAAGATCCTTAAAAGGAAATATCTATAGGGGCACCTAGGTGGCCAAATATGGAAGGAGCCCAAGTGTTAATCGATGAATGAATGGACAGAGAAGATATGGTAGGGGTAGTTGGGTGGGTCAGTCAGTTAAGTGACTGGCTCTTGATTTCAGCTGAGGTCATGATCTCATGGTTCGTGGGTTTGAGTCCCAAATTGGGCTCTGCGCTGACGGTGCAGAGCTTGGGATTCTCTGTCTCCCTCGCTCTCTGCCCCTCCCCCACTAACTTTCTATCTCTCTCTCCCAAAATAAATATTAAAAAAAGGAAAAATCTGTAAGTTGGACTTAATCAAACAAAAAACCTTTGCTCTTTGAAAGATCCTGTGGAGAAGAGGAAAAGACAAGCTACAGACTAGGAGAAAATATTTGCAAATTTCTACATATCTGACAAAAGACTAATATTTGGAATATTAAAAGAACTCTTAAAACTGAACAATAAATAAATCCACTTAGGAAACAGGCAAAGGGCATGAACAGACACTTCACTGAAGTGGATATATGGATGGCAAAATAAAAAAAAAAACACATGAGATGTTCAACATCATTAGCTATCAGGGAAATGCAAATTAATACCACAACAAGGTTACTACACATCTATCAGATGGCTAAAATAAAAAAGAGTGACAAACACCTAATTCTGATGGGGACTTAGAGTAAGCGGATCACAGGTACAGTCTACTGGGAAGATATCATGTTATAGCCACTTTGCAAACAGTACGGTAGTTTCTCATAAAATTGAACATTCAAGTACCATATGACCCAGAAATAGCACCCCTGCACATTTATCCCAAAGAAATGAATACTTATGTTGACACAAAAACCTGCATGTAGCTTTATTTATAATGGTAAAAAACTGAAAACAACCCAGACGTCCTTCAGTGGGTGAACAGTTAAACAAGCTGGGGTATGTGCATACCCTGGAATACTACTCAGCAATAACAGGAATGAAGTACTGATACATGCAACAACTTGCATGGATCTTAAGGGAATTATGGTTAGTGGGGGAAAAAAGCCAGCATTAAATGTTACACATTGTATGAGTCCATTTATATGACATTCTCAAACTGACAACACTACAGAGATGGAGAACATACTAGTGTTGGCCAGGGGTTAGAGACCGAGGGGTGGGGTAGGAGGGAGGTAAATGTGACTATAAAAGGTCAAGATGAGGGATCCTTGTGGTAACAAAACTGCACAGTATTTTGACTGTGTAGATGGATACATGAACATACATATGGGAAAAAACTGCATAGAACTACATGCACACATACACACACACAAGTATAAGTAAAACTGGAGAAATTTGAGTAAGATTGGCGAATTGTGATAATGTCAATTTCCTGTTTGTGATATTGTACTATAGTTTTGCAAAAAATTACAATGGGGAAAACTGGATAAAGGGTACATAGCATCTCTCTTTTATTTCTTACAACTGCATGTGAACCTACAATTATTTCAAAATAAAAAGTTAATTATAGGGGCGCCTGGGTGGCTCAGTTGGTTAAGCATCTGATTCTTGGTATCAGCTCAGGTCATGATCTCATGGGGTTTGTGAAATTGGGTCCCGAGTAGGGCTCTGTGCTGACAGTGTGGAGCCTGCTTGGGATTCTCTCTCTCTCTCACTCTCTGCCCAACCCCTCCCCAGCATACACACATGTGCTCCCTCTCTCTCTCTCTCAAAATACGAAAACATTTTTTTAAAAAGTTAATTAAAAAAAGCAGACAAGCTACAATATTCCTGTAGCTTGCCCAAGATTCTACAAATTGGAGGTAAGGCTAGGAATAGAACCACAATTTCCAAGTCTCAGGTTCTAGATGGGTTCACTTTGAAACTAGATTTTGCAGGGCACCTGGGTGGAAGCCTCCAACTCTTGGTTTCAGCTCAGGTCATGATCTCATGGTTTCGTGGATTCGAGCCCCACACTGGGCTCTGTGCTGGCAATGTGGAGCCTGGTTGGGATTCTCTCTCTCTCCCTTTCTCTCTGTCCCTACCCAATTCATACCGTCTCTGTCTCTCTCAAAATAAATAAATAAACTTTAAAACTAGATTTTGCAATTGAAAGAAGTTTCAAATTCATGACACATCCAGATCCCTAAATGATCAGGTCTGTTTCTGTTCACTATATACTCCCAACTGCTACCACACAGTGCCTGGCATTTAGCTCATAATCGATGTTTACTGAACATATAAATGAGTGAAAAAATTAATCCCCAACTAACTCCTCTTCCAATCCACCCAGTAGACACAGAAATAGCATGCAACTAACCTTTTTTGTTGTTTTGCGGAACCTTTTCTTTCTGACATTCTTAAGTGGTGGAGTAACTAAAATAAATTCAACATGGTGAAATGTATATATGACTGTTGGTAGTCACATATCTATCTGAATTTGACAAAGAGAAAGCCACTGGCTAACGACATGACCTGTTCCTTTAAGAGTGTCTGGATGTCTAATGAACCAAACACCTAAGTGTGGTAACAGGTCCCTGGCTCACAAGTAATTAGGATTCAGTAGATTAAATGTAGTCAGCCAAAGTGAGCAAGGGGCTGGTGACTTACTGCCATGCTTCCAGACATATTTTTGCTCTCTCTCTTTTTCATTTTTCATGACTGCGTTAAGGTCAGTAGAGGTAACTGATTCTTCTGGAGAAGAGTGGAGATCATCATCAGCAGTGCACACAAGCATCTACATTAAACAAAGATGAAGAAGTTGACTATGGTCACGAATCCTGGATTAGAAATGAATCATGATCATTTTTACTACAAGAAATCCTGGAGCATAGTAAGCAGTAAGGAGAATAGTACTTGGCATTTCCAGAAAGCCAAGTATTACATATACATGCATATTAATTCTGTCTCTCTTTCTCTGTCGGTCTCTGCAACACTGTATATGGATTCTAGATTTTGTTTTTATTTGTTTGTTTTTAGCTCAAGTACTTACCACTTCAGAGGGAATATGTTAAGAACAAATATATCTTAGTATTTTGATTTAGAAGGCAAACAAGAAATCAACAGTTGAGATGATGAAAAAAACAAATATAAATCTCGAGAATTAACAGCATCTTGCTTTAGCAGAAAGTTCAGAAGAAGATCCCAGATCCTCATTTTTTTTTTCAGATGACAATCATCATAAATGGCAAACCTGAACCTTTTTTTATATAAAAGCTATCTGGATAAAAGTCAAAAGTTATGGATCAAATACCAAACCAGAACATGACACTGTATTCCTGTGCAATTGAGCTGAGAATTAGAAATGATAAGCAGCCATTCACCAAGTGGAAAGGACTACTGAAAGAAAGAGAAAAGTAGGGAGAAAGGGATTCCTCGAAGGATGTAAGAACTAGTAGATTAAGAAAACTCATCCATACCTGAGAAATATCTGCTGTCTTATAAAAAGTTTTTTTATCAAGAGTTTTCAGGCTTCCAATAATGCAAGGCAAATCAACCAGCTTAGCAGTTAGTGAGACATCTTCTACATCAACAACTGCATGACGTCCATCAGCTGAAGAGAGGCAGGAAAAATTAAATCCAACATCTTCCCAATGTACTCTTAAGCATTCTGGGGTTTAAGTGACGAAGACTTAAGTGGGACAGGCCAATCTTTCAGTAAAACCTACTATTTCTCATAATGCTAGAATTGTGTATGTAATTGGTAACTTCCCAGTGAAAAGAAGGCAGGGTATATGGAGCTCTTTATTCTCAGTTTACTCTACTGGATCAAAAGTAGCTAAGTCTCTTTGTAATCATTGTGAACTAAATGTGGATGAAGTGGCGAATGTTTCATTCTCATCCTGAAAGGCAAACTCCATTCTTTCAACCCCATTCATTTTGACCCCATTAGAAGCACTCAATTATGTCATTGTACATGGGTATTTTCAAAGGGTCAAGTGAAGGAAGGGGTGATCCCAGAAAGGTGCTAGTATATCTGAAGTTATAATCTCTAGTTAGCTTCACCAAGATAAGATTCTACACAATATCCATACACTGTAGGAATATATATATTCATATGCTGACAACTCTGAATCCTGCCCAGATGTCTCTAGCTTTTGCTCGTCCCTTAACACAAGAGGATTCAAGTACAATCTTCTAATATTAAGTGAAAAAATAAAAATGCAGAAATATGCTGGACATGGTGCTTTAATTCTTTCAATTAACTTGAAAGATGTAGGGGATTTAAATGTTGGTATCATGAATAAAAATTCTGTCTGTAAGGAAACAAGGAGAAACAATTATTATTAGTTATCTTTGGCATTAATGTTGGGGCACTGCAAGGAGAGTTTCACTCCTCTTTTTGAACTTTTATATTTAAATTTTGTTTTTCCTTTTTGATCAAACTGGTTAGTGGTTTATCAATTTTGTTGATTCTTTCAAAGAACCAGCTTCTGGTTTCATTTATCTGTTCTGGGTTTGTTTGTTTGTTTGTTTGTTTGTTTTGGTTTAGATAGCATTAATTTCTGCTCTAATCTTTATTATTTCCTGTCTTCTTCTGGTTATATTTAAATTTTCTAACCATGAACTTGTATTACCTTTTTTAAAATGTCAATAAGGGCTACCTGAGTGATGGGATTATAAGCCATTTTAAATTTTCTTCTTTATATACTTCTCTGTATTTAAAAATCCTAATAAATATTATTCAAAAGAGAGAAAGATATGTCACTTTTATAAAAAAAAAGTACAGGACATTCATTTATCATTACCCCGGACAGTCAGAAATCACAAAGTTTGTATGTAAGAGACAAACAGAAGTATACAAATCTCACCATTGACCTCCCGCCAATTCTTCCTTATACACAGTACAATAATTACCTCAAATTACATAATTTCTACTTCCTTTCCTCAAAAAGAAGATATGAGAGTGACTTAAGCCTCTCTTAGGGTCTTCAAGGCAGAGACCATATTCTGCTCTTTGTCTCATCCTTAGTATCTAGTATAGTGTCTGGCACGTAGCAATCCCTTAATAAATTAACTGTTCAATGTATGGTAGACGGGTATTTACTACTTACAAGATAAGTCAATTTTTAGTTTATCCTTCATGGCAACACTTCCAGAATGTACCATCTTCCTGACAGTAAATGCATGTTCCTAAAAAGGAGGTAGATTGAAAAATCAGAAGGATGAATTGTCTACTTGGCAGCTAATAGATGTGCTATAGTCCTCCCTTAAATAAAACCTTAAATCTCCCAAATGTTAGGAACAGTGTCATGTACCATGACATATGGTGTGCTAAGTCAAGTTAAGATGAGGCTGACTCTAATCTCATTGTTGGTTTTTAGTAGCTACAGTTAATGCCTTCTTCAAGCCCCACATTCCTGCCTCTTACTGCTGCCCTTCAGTTGTAGTTGCTAAGTAAAGGCTTAGCTGCAGTTTACTGGGTATATAATTAGCCCTAATTGGGGAAATATCTTTCTGAAGGCCGTCCTTAATACAACATTCTTAGACTAAATACTACTTGAATGCAGGTATCAATGGGGGAAGAGACCCTAACACAATGTTCAGATGAACTTCAACAGCCTTGCATGGTGATGAATTTGAGGAAATAGTGATGGTCCCTTTCACTGCCCCTTTTGAGGTGACAGAAAGGATTTAAAAGGAGTCTTATCATGGCTGTTCAGTGAACAGGCCGTTAGCACCTCCGGTAAGTCACTGGATCCCTCACTGTCACAGCCCTTTGCTAGGAAATCAACCCACATGATAGGTGGCACGTACAGGATGAAAGAATTCTGCTAAAAGAGTACACACTAGAATAGGACTGTTTAATAAAACGTGATTCCTGGGAAACAAATGTTCTTAATTTTTATAGCCTACCTTAAATAGAAATGCTACAGAATCCAAGCAGAGCTAATACATATGCACTAAAGATATGTGGTCTGAGATACAAGGGTTTCTTACCAGTGGGAGACGCAATATAAACTGGTTCTCAAGTTCCTGAGGAGGTTCATCCTGGCTTTTACTCATCTCTTGTTTTTGAGTTCATGAAAGCAAACACAAAATAGCAAGTGACCAAAAACTCATCTTGCCCCTCTGCTGACCACTTCTGGTAGTACTGGTTACATTACACAAGATCTTGCCCACAACCCTCACTGAAACGATGTGTGTACAGCTCTGAAGTACCTTACTTGACATAACTTGATTATTTCTAAAAGTCACTTGATCTCCCTTCCAATATATGTAGACTTTCCAAGGATAGCCCAAATTACATGATAACAAAAGAAGTAAAGTTGTTATGGAACATGATGTAGTCTTTTTTTTTTTAATTTTTTAACATTTATTTATTTTTGAGAGAGAGAGACAGAGCATGAGCAGGTGAGGGGCAGAGAGAGAGGGAGACACAGAATCCGAAGCAAGCTCCAGGTTCCAAGCTATCAGCACAGAGCCCGATGTAGGGCTCAAACTCACAGGCCATGAGATCATGACCCGAGCTGAAGTTGGACGTTTAACTGACTGAGCCACCCAGGCACCCCTAGTCTTCTTAATGATATTGCTAGACTCTAAGGTAAAGGACTACAATTCATCAGCGCTATGATGGCTACCGAAGCAAACTACATCCCTCTGCAGGGAAGAGTGCCAAAGTCCAGAATCAACCAAAACCACTGGCACAAGTGTTCTATAATGATTTGAAGGAAAAAAGAGCTTAATTTTTAATATTTCATTCACCTTAATGGATTGGTATGAATTAAGCCCATGGGAGAGCAGGCAGGTTCTATGACTCTAAAGTCAGCATCAACAGTTCTAAACTATTTTGTTTAAAAGTTAGGAGTCCAGTTCTTACGGCGAGGCTATCTATATGAGTACACTTAGGTTCATGGAATGGGCACTTTCTTGAAGGGGTGATACGATAGATCATAAAATCCAATTTAATTTATTCATTATTAACATTCACTGTGTACATTCTATATGGCAGGCACTTCATTGAGTGCATTAGGTCTATTATTTTATTTAATCCGCACAACTACCACTTACTTGAAATACCCCTAAGAAGTTATTTAAAGGAATTCTAAGATGGATCCCTTTATTTAAAAAAAAACCTTCTGGAGGCGCCTGGGTGGCTCAGTCGGTTAAGCAGCCAACTTCGGCTCAGGTCCTGATCTCGCGGTCCGTGAGTTCGAGCCCCGCGTCGGGCTCTGTGCTGACAGCTCAGAGCCTGGAGCCCGTTTTGGATTCTGTGTCTCCCTCTCTCTGACCCTCCCCTGTTCATGCTCTGTCTCTCCCTGTCTCAAAAATAAATAAAACGTTAAAAAATTTTTTTAATTTAAAAAATTAAAAAAAAAACCTTCTGTAAAGTGAATAATCCCATCCAAGTTGATTTTTATTTTTAATCTTATTTTCCAGCTATTTGGGAAAAATCTGTAGTGGCTTGCACGTTGCGTTTTAGGGATCACACTTCTGAGGAAATTTTTTCTCAAAAGGTAGAAAGAAAGCAATATACATATATGAAAATAGACAAGATCTTCCTATGTTCTAAGGACATTACGCTACATACCAAGTTATAAAATCTTGTATTTTTAATTAGATTAAAATCTCCAGTTAACCACAGCTCCCTAATACTCTGTAAACCATTTGAATCTCACTTAAAAGAACTGCAACCCTTTTTAAAAACACATAAAAGTGAGTCTGAGACCCTATTATGGTGAAATCATTCACCAGTCCTTTAGTATGACTTCAGAAACCACCAGAAAGGCATAGAAAGCAAGAGAGGTCAGCAGCAGAAAAGGAGACACCCAGGATGAGAGGAGAGAGATTATTTGTGATAGTCATTTATTTTCTTCCTGCTTCATACAGATACACACACACACACACACAGATACACACACACATACACACACAGATACAAAATCTAAATGTGAACATAGCAAAAATTTAATTAAAATAAAGTAAATTAAATAAAAACCTTGGGGCTGGGCACATTGCCTAACAGAACGGACAGTTGCAAACACAAGGTTGGGAGCAGAAATGCAGATTATTTGAAGAACTAGCTGCTAAGCAAGATTTTATCAGATCAGAAATAACTTTTAGATTTTTCAGAACTAAGACTAGGGTATTTTGTTCATTTCAATGCCTTACTGGCAACTCCTCTCAATATAAAGGAAAGAATGTAAGAATTGAAACTATTTCAGAGAAGGTGGACAACCCCAGTTGAAATGAGTCTTAGTTATTTTTAAAATTTGTTACTTTCATCTACCCAATGAACCGGTTGTATTGTATTTATTTTTTTAAAAGGCATCCATTTTTTTTTTCAGACAAGCACTCTTTAATAAGTAATTAAACTAAACAGGACCACTCTCCACCCCCAGCTCCATCTTGTTTCAGCGGAATCAGGATTGGAATTAGAATTATAGCTAGCTGGAGGGTGCCTAACAGCATGCTCCAGGCAGCACAAGTCAGCACAAGCCTAAATTGGTATTTTCTCAAGTTCATAGCCACTGGCTGCAATATGAGGCAATGACCACTTCATCCTTATCCCAGGAGCGCTAAGCTTCCAAGGAAGAGTCCAGCTCCTAGGCTTTGATCCAATTTCCCTGGAAAACCTCCCGTGGGACCAAGGGGCCCCGAGCCTTCGCGCCTCGCCGTCCAGGCGGGCTGGATAAGGAAGTCCGGTGCGCGGGAGCTGGGCGCTGACCCGCCCGGGAGCCCTCTGACCTCCCGACTCACCCGCTCCTCCGTTGATTTACGCCAGGACCGGAAAGGCTGCGCAGACACTGTTCCCCGGAGTGGGGGTGGGGGACGGGTTCCGGAGGGGGCGTGAGTGGGCTCCCGGGCGGCGGGCGTGGAGGCGGGCTGCGGGCCGACGGCGTGGCGACAGGTAGGAGCCGCGCGCGCCGCCCCTCCCCGCCTAGCCACGCCTCCGCGACCTGGCCCCCGACCCGACCGGCGTTTGGCCTCGAAGCAGCGGCCAGTTTACCGCGTGCCGAGCTGGAAGGTTTGAAAGGCGCTGAGCGCAGCGCAGTGTGGGGGTGGGGGTGGGGGAACCTTGCCGAGCATAGTTTCAAAACCAATTCCTTTTACAGGGGGGCGACCTTCAGGGAGGCCGAGGGAGTGTTACCGGTGCGCAGTGATATTTGTAAAAGGGGTGGCACATTCAGTTGCTCTTCGAATCCGTTAAATTGACCAGATTTGTCCCTTAGCGAGACGACCTCGCCTGGTGACAACCAGGCCGCCACGCAAAACCATTAAATAACTACAATCCGCGCCCAAACTACTCTTACATAATTAGCCTTTCCCTGTTCCTCAAGAGAGTCACTAGAGTACATCTTTTGGACAGGGACACACGTGACACCGATTATTTCTCCTGAAGGGAGTCTCAGTCCAAAGAGACTTCTAGTAGTTCACTTCCCCAAAAGAATTCTCTTAACTTGTGAGGGAAAAAAAAAATTTAACCCCACTTACCTGTCCCTTCCAGTAAGTTTTCCTCAGGAGTTTTGGCAGCAATGTCGGTGCCGCCATCGACATCGGCTTGGGTGCCATCGGCAGAAGTTTGGGTGCCTTCATTGGTGGCAGTTTCGGCCCCCAGGTCGCCAAAGTATTCAGCTCCGCTGTCTTCAGGAATTTGGGGACCTTGTGAGCCCGTTACTTCTGATGTGGAAGCTGTTGGTGTTGAATCACTTTCCAAAGAATTGGGACGCTCCTCCTCACTGTACTCCATGGTCGACCCGTGGAGATTGTAAAATGGCTTCCCGTTCAGTCATGTGACCTTGGAGGTTCCAGAACTTTCATAAAATGATGTCAAAGGTATCCTCCTTAAAGACATAGGGATAATATTAGAGACATTAGGGGTCCCGGTTAGAGATGGTAGCTGTGAAATCTCTACTTCCTAATATGCATCTAAACTGAATTGTAAGGGACAAATATGTTTGGAAGACTATTGTACAATAATTTCTTCTGGATACAAGATTTTTTTTAAAAAAATCATATCCGTGAAGCTGAATTATCGGAGTTTCAGACCTAGACAAAACTGTTTTGATCCCTTTTGGAATCCATCTGCTGATCTTTACATTAAGGGTTGAAATACAAAATTGACCAATGAAACTCATTTTTTCATGTAGTGTAGTATGTTCTTAAAGGCATTTATATAAAAAAATAATTCTTTAATAACTCAAAGGAAAACTTCCATTTTCAGTAACTGAAATAGCTGAGTAATTATTTTTTGAATCATACAGACCATGTGAATTATTTAATTAACTTTCCTTGTGATGGCTGCTAGGAAGCTCAGAACCTATTTTGCAACCCAAATCTACCAACTGTGAACTTTATTGGCATATGCTGTTCTTTCTGTTATATTAAATAACGATATTCTCTCCCAATTCCCTATTTTTATCTTGTAACACTGAAACCTGCTTCAAAACATTCTTTATTTTTTATTTATTTCTTTTTTAAACTAATCTCTACACCTAACATGGGGCTTGAACTCACAACCTGGGGATCAAGAGTCACACGTCCTACAGACTCAGCCAGCCAAGGCACCCCTCTTTTTCTTAAAAAGAGAATCAGAAGGGGGGCGCCTGGGTGGCGCAGTCGGTTAAGCGTCCGACTTCAGCCAGGTCACGATCTCGCGGTCCGTGAGTTTGAGCCCCGCGTCAGGCTCTGGGCTGATGGCTCAGAGCCTGGAACCTGTTTCCGATTCTGTGTCTCCCTCTCTCTCTGCCCCTCCCCCGTTCATGCTCTGTCTCTCTCTGTCCCCCCAAAAATAAATAAACGTTGAAAAAAAAAATTTAAAAAAAAAAAAAAGAGAATCAGAAGGGCACCTGACTGGCTCAGTCGGTAGATAATGCACCTCTTGATCTTGGGGGTTGTGAGTTTGAGCCCCACATTTGAGTGTAGAAATTACTTTAAAAATATTAAAAGAGTGAGATATAAATAATAAATAAAAATAGTACTCTGACAGAAGTGTCACAGCGAGCATCCCTGTAGGTAGAGTAAGGGAATATAGTAACTGTTCAGGTATAAATTTGATCTTCCAACAAATGTTACTTGAGAATCTCATGTGCCAGACTTGATTTTAAATATTTATTACATGTTGAAAATATGGTAAGAGTTTTGTGGAAGGAGGCAAAAATTACCCGTAAGATACAAGCATACATATATGTAATTTTTTCCTTTATTGCCAGATTTCCAGCCCCTTCTTAAGGAAGAATCAGAGGAAATGTGCAAGAAGGAAAAGGACATGAAAATTGTGGTTTCTCTTCCTGGGAAAAGGGTGATCCAACAAGTAGCACTGATGTACAGATAACCTGTCATATGCATACTATCATATTGTCAAATACATACAGACTATATTTCTGGGCTCTGTTCTGCCATGTTGCTGTCTTTCCAAAAAGTTCTTCTGGACCCCATCCCCTCCCCTAACTGTGGCTCCGATCAATTTCATTATTATAGCAAATATGCAGTTGCATGTATTCCTTCAACAGAAATGTATGGAGTTATGTGCCAGAAACCATTCTAAGGTTAATTATAGCTAACATTCATTGAGCACTTATTTAGATGCTAAGCTCTTTGTTAAGTGCTTTGTATGTATTATTTAACCCTCACAATTGCTCTGTGAGTTTGGTGTGACTGTGATCCTGGGTTTTTTCCAGATAAGTAAACTGAGATTTGAAAAAGTTAATTAACTTGACCCATGTCACACATGTAGTAAATGGCAAAGCCAATACATAATTTAAGCCCAGGTCCCTTCACTCTAACTGTGTCTTTGTTTACATAGACTTCCCCTACACAATTAGATGTACAGTAATTCCCCATTTTCTGTTCCTCCTAGCTCCTGGTAACTTCTATTCCATTTTCTGTTTCTATCTATGAATTTGCCTATTCTAGGTACATCATATAAGTAGAATCATATAGCATTCATCCTTTTGTATCTGGCTTCATTCACTTTGCTCATACTGTGAGTTGGGAAGTATTTTCTGCTCATATGTTTTAGAATAGTTTGAGAAATGTAGGCAGTAATATGTTTAATGTTTGATAGCATTAATCAGTAAGGCCATCTCATTAAGTTTTTCTTTGTTGGGAAGTTTTTGATGCTGACTTAATCTCCTTATTGGTAATAGATCTGTTGAGATTTTCTATTTCTTTATAATTCATTTTCAGTATTTGTGTGTTTCTAGGAATTTTCCCATTTCATCTAGGTTGTCCAACTTGCTGATGTACAATTGTTAATAGTATTCTCTTATAATCCTTTTTTATTTCTGTAAAATTGACAGTGATGTCCCTGATCTCTTTTCTGGTGTTATTAATTTAAGTCTTCTCTCTTTTTGTTTTAGTCTAGCTAAAGGTTTCTCAATTTCGTTGATATTTTCAAAGAATCTACTCTTGGTTTTATTGATTTTCTCTATTTTTATTCTCTATTTTATTGATTTCTGCTCTAATCTCTATTATTTCCTTCCTTCTGTTGGCTTTAGGTTTAGTTTGTTTTATTTTTCTTGTTTCTTATAGCAAAAAGTAAGGTTGTTGATTTAAGATGCCTCTTATTTTTTAAATTTTTTAATGTTTATTTGTTTTTGAGAGAGAGTGAGCGGGCAAGGGGCAGAGAGAAGGGGAGACACAAACACCAGAGCAGGCTCCAGGCTCCAAGCTGTCAGCATGGAGCCTGACGTGGGGCTTGAACTCACGAACTGTGAGATCATGACCTAAGCAAAGTCAGATGCTTAACTGACTGAGACACCCAGGTGCCCCATTCTCTTATTTTTAAATGTAAGTGTTTATAGCTACAACTTTCCCTGTTAGCACTGCTTCTGCTCCATACTAGAAGTTTTCTTATGTTGTGTTTTCACTTTCATTGTTCTCAAGTAATTTTCTAACTTTCCTTATGATTTCTTCTTTGGCCCAATAGTTATTTATTCTGCCAATCTTTCTGCCTTTTTGATTGAAGAATTCAACCATTTGCATTTAAAATAATTTCTATTAAGGAAGGCCTCTGACATTTTGCTATTTATTTTCTACATGTCTTACAGTTTCGTTGTCCCTGATTTCCCTTTGTGTTTAGTTGATTTTTGTGGTGACAGGTTTTGGTTCCCTTCTCATTTCTTTTTGCTTATATTCTATAGATATTTTCTCAGTGGTTACCACAGGTAACATGTTAGTATGGATGTTACATATAACATCCTAAAATTATAAAAAATCTCATTTTAATTGATACCAACTTGACTTTAACTGTGTAAAAAATGCTACTTTATTTATAACTCTGTTCTCCCCTTTAATGTTATTAATGTCACATATTACACCTTTATACATTGTGTGTTCAATAACATAGATTTATAATAATTATTATGTGTTTCTTTTTTAAATATTGTAGAAGATGAAAAGAGGAGTTACAACCCAAAAATATGATAATTCTGGCTTTTAAATTTGCCCCTGTATATCCCTTTGCATTGTTCTTATTTCATCCTATGCCTTTGAGTTACTGTCTGGTGTCCCTTCATTGCAGCCTGAAGGACTCTGTAGCATTTCTTGTAGGTCTACTAGTAACAAACCAGTTTTTTATCTGGCAATGTCTTAATTTCTACTTAATTTTTGAAGGGTAGTTTGACAGATACAGAATTCTTGCTTGACAAGATTTTTTCTTTCAGCACTTTGAATATGTGATCCCATTGCTTTCTGGCCTCCATGACTTCTGAAGACAAATAGGCTGTTAATCATACTGAGGCTTTCATGTACATTATGAGTCACTTCTTCCTTTATGCCTTCGAAATTCTCTCTTTTGCTTTTGACCATTTGACTATAATAGATCTCAGTGAGGGTCTCTTTAGTTTATCCTGCTTGGAGTTTGTCAACTTCTTGGTGTGTGGATTCATGTATTTCATCAAATATGGGAAGTTATTGGCCATTATCTTTTTTTCTTTTTTAAAAAATATTTATTTTTGAGAGAGAGTGCGCACATGTGCACACAGGGGAGGGGCAGAGAAAGAAGAAGACAGAGGATCTGAAGCTGCTCTGACAGCGCAGAGCCTGATGCAGGGCTTGAACTCATGAACCGTGAGCCGAAGTTAAATGCTTAACCGACTGAGCCACCCAGGCACCCCAGCCGTTATTTCTTCAAATATTCTTTATTCCCTCTTTCTCTCTCATCTCTCCCTCTGGAAATCCCATTATGTATATGTTAATATGATTGATAGTGTCCCACCAGTTTCTGAGTCTCTATTAATTTTTCTTCATTCTTTTTTCTTCCTGCTCCTCAGATAATCTGGATTGATCTATCTCCAATTTCATTGACTCTTTCTTCTGCTTGCCCAAATCTTCCTCAAAACTCTCTCCTCAAGGGAAATTTTTTATTTCAGTTATTGTACTTTTCAACTCCAGAATTTCTTTTTTGGTTCCTTTTTATAAATTCTATCTCTATTGATATTCTCTATTTGGTATGACATTGTTCTACTGGTTTCCTATAGTTCTTTGCTCTTGGCTTCCTTTAGTTCTTTGGACATATTTAAGACAGTTGATTTAAAGTCTTTCCTAGTAAATCCAATGTCTCTTCAGGAAGTTCTTCAGGAAGTTTCCATTAATTTCTTTTTACCTGTGAATAAGCATACTATCTTATTTATTTATTTTTAATGTTTTATTTATTTTTGAGAGAGAGCATGAGCAGGGGAGGGCAGAGAGAGCAGAACAGAGGATCCGAAGTGGGCTCTGCTCTGACAGTAGTGATCCCGATGTGGG